CTCTACCAGCGTAGCCTCATAGATGCATTTCTTTGCATGTGTTATCTTGCTCTTAGCGGCGCCGTACGACGATCGTTCAGTTTTGGGGCTAGATTTTCAGGTTCAGTGACTCGGTGGTATACGAGTAACATTCGGTACACGTACTATCATAACTACCTTATTACATCTGAATAATTCGCCTTCATGAATAGGACGATTTACCTTGCTTGTCATTATCATTATGCAATATGTCGGCCGTATAAGATTCATAATGTCCGCTAACCTCAATATTTCGCACTCTGATATTATGAGCGGTCTATTGGGTTGGCGAAATACGGATCCCTCATCGATAGCAGATCTTCACTGAGCTTAAGTAGTCGGTTCTTCAAATCAGATTGACTGGGCATCGAAAGTGTGGTTTCCGCATGATAGGCAAAGAGTGATAGAAATATGTAAAGGTGATATGAAATATTCACGATACCGGATTTTAACGATGAAAACTACTGTAAAGAAAGACAATTCATTTTTTACTTTACACCGACACTGCGGTAGTGTAAGACGCATGGAATTCTTACAGCCGATAGTATCGCAATATTGCACAGCCGTTTTGGTTCTAATCGCTAGGGAGACCATTTGAGCAGGTCGCGGCTCCATGGTATTAAGGAGCCTGCAATGCGTAGGACGCAAGACCGCGCGTCTCTTAGATGGGTTAAACAAAGGCACGTTCAACCCCAAATGTCACTCTGAGTAGGCAAAAACATGCAAGAAGAAAATACGGCCCTAATGTTCTAGACCAGACTCCACAGGTGTTGAGTAGAATTGAGTTTCGCATCCATGTTATCGAAGAGTTTCACGTGAAGGAATCCTATTACTTGCACATGATTTCGAAAACTGCAATTGAGTGCCCTCGGCAAGTAAGTTCCGCTCACCGCAAACATGTGAATTTTGTATACGACTTTTTTTGGTTTAGCACCGAAAGAATGGCCAGTCAATCAGATTCGATGACCACTTATCCTTTCGGGTAGCGTAGGCAGCAGCGTTAGGCAGTGTCTTCAGACTTCCAGATCCTGTACCAACGTTTGAGCTGCAGAAGAAGATAACTTAAATAATCGGAAGAATAGCCGGGGTACATTTCTTACCGTTCTACAGGAATCGCCACCTGCCCGACAGCAGTGTTCTCCAATAACCGTTAATGGTGGAGCATACGGTACAATACTGTCTCTGTCTGAATGCAACGACTTAAGAAACGTAAAACTGTTTAGACGATATCCAACATGTTCATTTGGCTGCAACTGCTTACTTGAATGGTTCAACAGATTCTCATGGAAACTGTACATTTTGATATCATGCATACAAGTCATAAGTTTAAAACTCTCTTGATCTACCTTGTAGGAAGCAGCATAAGTGATGTTCAACAATCTTTTGGCGTTTCCGCTTGTCGAAGATGCCTTGTAAGTAAATTTATCGCGATACTACTTAACTTGTTGCCGCCACGTTTTGAGTGTGGACTCAGACATAAACTGGACCACAGTATTTTCGGCGTACGTCTGAAACAAAGCCGCATGAACTGCATCTAGAAAATCTCAGATATCATTTTGACCTTTTGCTGCGATCTCGACGGTTGATTTGAAAAAGGCATTTAAAAAGAAGTCTGCCACCTTTTCTATCCCCTCCTTGCAGTAGTTATCCTTTCTGAATCCATTTCTAATGCTGATAATACATTGATATGAAGGTTGATCTTGCCTGCATTTTACATTGTGTATTAAGCATTTATTCAATAACAGTCAGAATGTCATTTCCGTTTCCTCTTCTATTAGAGAAAGTTTGACTTTCTGTAATAAAACTGTTCGACTGTGAAACAAAAACCCATTCGAATTGGACGCAAAATCAGGTTAAAGGTAACGTTTATTTTTTCCATAAAATATTTGTATTTCTATTTCAGATACAGTTCGAATTTTTCCGTAATATCGAATTACCCAAGTTTTATTGTGGCTTTTCAGCGAAGGTAGTAATGCAGACGAGAACAGTTCTCAGAAAAGAACGAGGTCTATTATACAACGCGGCGGCCGCTAAGGATAGAAGGAAAAAACGCAAAAATCATCAGACGAAAAGGAGGATCCATCCAGAAAATAGCACTAGTTAAGAGATAGCCACAGCTTTATCATAAACATCGAGCAGAAATTGGTAGCGACTGAGGGAGCGTCAACAACGTCGGTATTTGCCTCTACCCTATGACAGCTGTCATACGAATAGTTGCACTCGATGCGAAACGATCATGGACAAAGGGGTAAAATTTCTATTCCAAGAAAGAAGCGCCCAGGTTTGGTGGATAAGTTGCTAGAATTAGAGACGACGGGCGAAAGAAACCAAAAA